AAAGAATTTTGTAACTTTATCTATTTGAAATTTATGTATTATTTTCTTTTTTTATTATTAATGGTTCTTTTTTTTTTTTCTTTAGAATGTGTGGTAAGGACAAAGCTTTATTGAAAGGATTGGAGAAAAAGTATGAATTCTATAAATGTTAAGTTATGTGAAAATATTACATTTTTTTTGTATGATATTATGTTTTTTATTTTATTCATATAATATTATTATTAACATTTTGATTCTTTTACATATAAATTTTATTTCTCATTCCTTCTAAATTGTTTATATATCCAATATTACTGTTATATATATTTGGGAATGTGCATTCAATTATACTAAAATCTCATTCAAATAGTATATTATTATTATATATTTAATAATAAATATATAAAAATAATAATAATATACATTTACAATTTTTTGTTACTTTTTTTTTTTTTTATGTACAATACCCTTTCATCTTCTTATTCATCTATAAATAAACTCTCACTTTTCTCTACATCAATATAGTATATTCTCCTCTCTATCTCTTCAATTTCATTTAATTAATATGGTGAGTTCCAATTTTTTTTTCCTATTTCATAGTGTATCTAAATATAATATGATGTTTTTATTTTATATATCTTTTTTCACCTTAGTTCAAAATATGTATATTATTGTATAAACTATTTTTCTTATTAGTCTTATTATTTTTTTATGAATTTTTTATAGAAAATATGATAATTCTTTTTTTGAAAGAATTTTATAACTTTATCTATTTAAAATTTATGTATTATTTTCTTTTTAGATTATTAATGGTTCAAAAAAATTTTTTTTTTTGGATGTGTGGTAAGGACAAAACTTTATTCAATGGATTAGAGAAAATGTATGAATTTGATAAATGTCAAGTTACATGAAAATATTACATTTTTTTGTAAGATATTATGTTTTTTATTTTATTCATATTATATTATTATTAACTTTTTGATTCTGTTAAATATAAATTTTACTTCTCAATCCTTCCAAATTGTATATATATCCAATATTACTATTATGTATGTTTGGGAATGTACATTCAATTATATTAAAATCTCATTCAAATAATTTTTTTTT